TGATGATGACCCTCATGATGGTGATGACCATGGTGGTGATGATGCCCGTGATGGTGATCATGGTGATGATCATGATGATGTCCATGGTGATGATGATGTCCATGATGGTGATCATGCCCATGGTGGTGCCCATGATGATGGTGAGGTTTCGGTTCCGGATTGCACATTGCATCAGATATGAGTAAGAAAATGCAAATAGTGGAAATCAAGATCAACGCAGTTTTCTGTAAGAAAAGGTCATTAATTATAATTGGTTCCCTTATTAAGATCTTATAGATACTTTTTTCCTGAAAATCAAAAGATCGGTCTATGAATAGATATTATTTAGTAGAAACCTTTCATAAGTATAAAACTATTGAAACAAATCATGGCGATAATTTAAAACAATAACAATTCAATTTTTTTCCTAAATCCGAATTTTAATAGATAAAAATATATATCTTATACACACTCTTATCATCTTTGAACATTATTTCTAATATTGATGATAATATCATTAACAATTTTTTTTAAAATAATTTTCTTTGAAGAAACAAAAATTGATTTTGAAAAATTTCAAAAAATATAAATAGATTTTTTATCCTTTAAAAATCGTATGGTTAGTTTAAACTCCTTTATAAAATTGATTTTAGTAGAAGAAAATAAAGCTATACAAATAATAGTTTGTTTTTCACAGATTGCTTTACCACGGGTTTATAACAATATGATTGATTTTCTTATAAATCCTTCTAATTCTCTTAACCTTGATAATTTTTTTACAATTTTTTTTACAAAGTACTCCTGAAATTTTTTTAAAATCAATATGACGGAGCTGATACATATTGTTATGTAATTGCTAAATAAACATAAAGTACAGCAAATTATATTCATCCATTGACTGTTAGTAAGGATTTAGTCAGATATTGAATGGTATGGGCTTATAAAGAATGCAATTTAGTGTCTAGGATGTATCAAAATATTACAATTGTTGTACTTGAGAATCGTGGTAAATCAGATTATAGCGCGTTCTCCTTCCAATGAGGTAAGCCCGGTTCAAATCCCATCGATGGCTGGTCGATAGGGACTACGCACCGGCCAGTGCTATCATCAGTGAAAAAAGAATAAAGGGTTAGAATCCCCTAGCAGTCAGGCTTACCATGGTAAGTTTCCGCTGTTTTTATCCCCATGCAACGAAAATGCGGGTTAGTTCCATCAAAAAGTTCTCCACGAAATTGAAGTCGAACATTGGAAGTCGTAAACTCAAAATTGGGTCTGCTGTTTAACGACGGTTATAAAATAAAATAAAATATTGTATAGAAAATGTGGAGTGATGATATATTACTACAAGCAAAAATGTAGCTTCAAAATATTAAATAATTTATTCATTGCCACTTAAGCAGCTAATTGCAAAACAAAATTTGCAATTTTAAAAATACTTTTTTTTATGAAACCATGCTTTATTCAAATTTATTAAGTAACATGTCGTATTAACAAAGAAGTTTTTCAGTGTTTTATAGTTTATTCTAAATTTCGTATTATTTGTAATTTAAGATTTATTGTTATTTTAATTTTGTAAAACATATATTAGCTAATAATAGTGTTAAATTTTAAAATGACCTATTCACCTTAATTTTATGATATTGAATGAATTCAATATAGGACGTAAGAAAGAATATTATAAATGAAACATTATTTACTTTTGTGCAGATGGTCAAGGTAGGAGGTTTTAAATTTTTAAGTTTGAGAAAATTATCAGTATTATTTCCTTCTATTAAATGCTATCAACTTCTTTTAAAAATAAATCGATGTATGAACTTGATTAAGAATTAGGCAAAGGTATTAAAGGTATTTTAATTAAATATTTATTGTACTCAAATTTTTGTACAAATCAATTCAATACAAATTTATATACAATACAGAAAGCAAATATATTTTGAAAAGCGAAATTAACAAAACTTAGAGTTTTAGTGAGCTTCAGAGTAATTACTTTTAATTATATTAGTATTTTAAAATTGCTTACCATGTTTGAAGTTTTAAGGTTTTGTTTTCCGTATAATATCAGAAAATGTAGAAGTGATTTGATGTTCTCCCAGTTTGAAAACCTTTTTATACAGAATCAGAGTTCTGAAAGTCTCCACATTGGTACATCAAGTGCTAAGAGGTTTGCGCTTCAATAAGCAATGAAGCTTAGACAATCAGAATCGAAGGTCTTTTTTTTATAACAAATTTTTAATTTGCTAATTATTTTATTTCACAAGTTTTAGAAAAGAGTTAAATTTTGACACTCGTTACTATGTGAGTTAAAAATGTATCCGATAAAGATGTCTCTCAAATTGCTTTGAAAATCAGAATTTTTTTAAAAAGTGTAATTAAGTTGCCTTTCTTAAAATGAGATTTTTGGTATGCAGAAAATAAAATATTCAAAACAATTTCCTATATGCATCAAGCTAATTACGGGGTTCATATGGTCCTTAAAAATATTAAAGTTGAAAACTATATATAAAGGTTAACTTTAATACTTAAATTTGAAAGCTTAATTTGAAAACTTAATTTGAAATCTTAATTTTCAAACGAAAGTTAATGAATTAATTAATTAACTTTCGAAATTTTTGATTTCGTTATAAGATTTATTTATTTGGAAATATTAAGCACAGTAGTGAATGCAAATTTATGAATATTTATTTTTTTCTTCTTAATTATTCGCCAAATGAAAAAAGTTTTAAGGACCGTACTAATTTTAATGCGAATCAAATTTTCAAAAACAATTTTTTTTTTTTTCATTTGAAAATAATTTTGATTCAAATGTATTTAAACAGTAATCTACATGTCATATTCCGTAGATCTGATACGCTTAAGTAAGCATCATATGGGTCATTCTCACAAAAACAGCCATTTTCATGTCCCCAGTATATTTTATGTTTGTTTTACAGCTTACGAAAAAAAAAATTCAGGGAAAGTGTCCTTCAGAATGCAAGCTAACAAAAGAATAAAAAAAAATTATCAATTTTTATTTTTTATTTATTTTAGGTAATTAAAATATACCAATATGTCATTCCTTCACTTGTCCCCATTGCTGATTTAGAAAAAGAAAAAAATTGCTTCTGAAATAAATTTTTTTTTTCAAATTCATGTTTTTTATTTCAGAATACTGAAATATAGAATTCAGAAAATCAATTTTAAATTTAAATTCTGAAAAAAATATTAACACAGCACTATTTTAAACTTTNTGTTTCCTTACGTAAATAATAATCTAATACTGCTGAATTTTTCTGTTTATTTTAATGACTGCATTGATCCATTTTGATAAAGTAATTAATAAATAAAAATTTCTTATAATATATATATTTCAAGTTTACTTTCTTCCTTGAAGAGTTTTAGAAAGTAATTTAAGAAAATTCAGAAATGCAAGAATGATTTTATTTAATAGCAACGTTATTTCCATTTTAATAAAAAAAATCAATATAATGAAAGACTTAACAGTTTAAAATGCATAATTTCTTTCGAAAAAAATAGGTATAAATCTTAAATTAAACATTATTCAAAATTTCTATATAATTATTAAAAATATTTTGAGACTGTTTTAAATTTTTAAATAATAAGGATATGGATTATTTTGCTTCTGAAAAATATAATTATATGGTTTAAAAAAATTATTTAAATCTTAAAATAAATTTTGCCATAGTTAAATTGAAAATTTGAAATTTGAAATAAATGTCTAATGCATAACGTTTTTGAGATTTTTTCTACTCTGTGTCATTTAAATAAAATTTTTTTGAAATCAAAATTACATGATTTTAAAAAGATTTTTTAAAAAGTTTTTCCCCTCAATACTCGAAATTTATTATTGATTAACTAAAGAAATATTTAAATTTGAAAAAAACGCAATTATGTTATTGTCATCTGCATTTATGCTTTATGATTTCGGTCAAATCATTAAATTAAACTGTTTTTCATGGGAAAATTTTAGTTATAAACAACCTTATACTGTTAGTATATATTTTTTAAAATTAATGTTTCTAAATTTTCATTCTTTCATTAATTTATTGAATAACTTAAAATCTAACAAAATAAATGCATGAATAAACAAATAAATGACGGAGTGGTTGTCTGACTCACTGAATAAGTGAGAGAATGAAAAAGAATAAATAAATGAAATAAATAAATGAAACAAATTAATGAATGATTTAATAGCATTATGAGGAATAAATAACATAAAGACATCCCGATCCTCGACTCTTCTATTGTAATCTTTATTAGAAGATTGCAAATATTTCCCTCATGCCTCTTGTGGGGGAAGGGGGACATAATTCCAAATTGTTCTATTAAATAGTTTTTTTTTGAATTGTCGCTTGTTTTTATATTGACATATACTAAGAATGTACATATTGCGCATATTTAAGAGATACACTTTTAGTTTCGGATCAACTGCGTATAATTTTTTAAAAAATCAGTTTTTACTCAAAGATTTTTCTGACAGAATTTTCTACGGTAGAAAAACTTAATAAATTTCAGATTTTAATATAAATATTTGTTAATTGTATATTATTAATATGCTGTACATGGAAAAAATGATTCTGGTAAAATTACTGTACTGTTGGGTAGTGACATTTTAGGTGGAAAAAAAAATAAAAAACGTACTTTTTGTAATAAAATCAAAAATATGCAGTATTTAAACTATTTGATATTTTTTCCGCCTTTTGGTAACGGTGAACCGGAAATTCCGTTTTTCAAAATTATAGTTCTTTTTACCTCATATTAAATAAAAAGAACAAAAGTAAAGTTAAGAGAATAATTACTTTCAATGCCATTCTCTAAGGTATCATGATATAATTACCAAAATTTTACTAAATTCTATAACATATTAAAAAACTATACTTTGTTCTTAATTATACCAAAATCATGACTAAAAAACTTCAGTAAATATTAAATAGATTTTTGGTGTTCTTATAAAGCCAGGAACAAGGTAAATTTTACTATATTCTGGTAGGTTTGAACATACTTTTTTACTCAGTGCATGAGATATGAATGTAAATTACTACAGCTTTCATTTCATTCAACAACAACGAAACAATTGATAACAAATACTTGTGGCAAAATATTTCTGTCAAGAGAGAAAACTCAATAAAAAGAAAACTCAGCATAAAAGGGAACACAAAATGTGACATGTTTAATACTCTCGTGCATATTTGTCAGTTTTTATGAGTCAATATGAATTTTTAATCTTTGCACCCTCTCTGTATATTCTTGTGTTTTGATTTTTTCCCCCTTACAAATGCAACTCAAATAGCAATTGAAACAACATCTCTTTTTTTAAAAATTTTGTATCTCATTTGTAAAACCTAATTTGAAAATATTTTGGTCCCTTATTGTTATATGATTTTTATTGAACAAGAGTATTTTTGAGTGAATTTCCTAAGTCTTCAAAGAAGAGAAATTTTTCATTCTTTCCTTCTAACTTAGATATTTTGCTAAGGTATCAAAGATTACAAGAAGTAAATCAGAAGACTTGTAAGAATTATATTATTAGTTCAGAGAGGATAATAAATTAATATCCATGAGAGAAAAAAAGTATAATCCTTGCAATGAATTTAAATAATACTTAGTACTAATAATTAACTTAGTTCTTAAAAATTTCTCGTGTTGAAAAATGTAATAAGAATTTGCTAAGTGTCCGTATTCCTTTTGAGTTGTGTCCGTTTTCTTAAACACGCAGTTTGAGCTGTGTCCTGAATAAAAAGTAAACCGAAGACACTTGCTTTTATAGACAAGCATCTTCAAAAGTAAAGGAAATATTCGTGTCATTTCCAACTTCTCCGAAGCACTAAAACATATTAAAATTGAAAAAAATATATTTTTGATTGAATGTGATATTTCTGAAGTAGCACATATTTTCATAAAAGTCTTGGCAGTAAGTAATATAAAAATAAAACAAAAGTCAAAATATAGTGTTTGTTGCTAATAAAATGAATTACTTGAAATTTTTATTTAAAAATAAGCATTAAATCGTGATTTAGAAGTTAATTAAAGTGGTTTTCAAATTGGATGTTTTCTGATCAAATCATTTATATTAGGATAGCTTATTGCAGATAGTACCAGAATTAGATGTGTTTGATGCGTATCAATCTTAACAAATATTTTGAATCTGGAATAATCTTGAAAAATATTTTGAATTTATATTGTTCTTATTAGAAAACCTCTGTTTACATTTATGTGTCAATTTGTCATCCAAATTGTGTAAGCTAAATTTGTCGTTTAAATTGAAAATAGTCGGGATCAATTGATTGTAGACACGAATATCCAAAATTCAATACAATTTGAGTTGTACAGTTTTATAGATTTTGTCAAAATTTCTAAAGGTGACGTTGTAATTGTTTCACACTTTTTAAGTTCTTTTTATAAGTCTTTATATGCTGCACTGTTAAGGCTTTATCATGTCTCACCATGGATTTTCTTCCACATGTTGATAATTTATGTTTTCAGATATGTTTTCAGACACTCAAACTTACATGAATTTGGTTTAGTAAACAAAGAATAATTTTATACTCAAGCGAATCTGATCTTAATATTTTTTATCGTTAGTTGTATAAGTTACTATTTATTTTTTGTTAAATGTATAATCTTATATGCTGAAATTTGATAATTTAATTTAAAAAACAAAACTTTTATGTTGCACATTTATTTCGTTAAAAATCACATCACAGTTTGCAAATTATTTTTACAGCAGTAAACTTAAATTTTGTTTGGAAGGTATTGTAGATAAATCCAGATCAATTTTAATGATGGTGTCCATGATGATGATGATGACCCTCATGATGGTGATGACCATGGTGATGATGATGCCCGTGATGGTGATCATGGTGATGATCATGATGATGTCCATGGTGATGATGGTGTCCATGATGGTGATGATGCCCATGGTGGTCCTCATGATGATGGTGAGGTTTCGGCTCTGGATTGCACATTGCATCAGATATGAGTAAGAAAATGCAAATAGTGGAAATCAGGAGCAATGCAGTTTTCTGTAAGAAAAGGTCATTAATTATAAGGAGCACACATGTTACTAAACGCAGACGCAAAGACTTAATCGATTACGTGATATAACAAACAAATAAGTAAAATAACATTCCAAGCTTTGGTTTGGCTCTTTCCATTTATACAGGAAGGGAATTCTGACGTCATCAACAAGCCCCGCCTCTTTCTGTGTCACTCGAAGTTAGTTTTGTTTTAAGCTATTTTGAAGTGATAATTCTAAAAAAATGGAATCATCAGATTTAGAACATGGAAGGGACACATTTCAATATTTTATCGATTTCTTTTTAAAATTTTGTTTTGAAAAACAAAAAAACCCGAAACAAATTTATTTTAATTTTTTCAATCTGAAGGGTCCTGAGAAATCGCCATTTTAAATAGCCTGTGCATAATTTAAGATTTTGTTCGTTGTAGCCTCTTGAATTAAAAAAATGCATAAGCCAATAGGTTGAATCGGGTTACATCTATCCGGAGAATCCGAATCTGCAATTAAATATGAGGAAGCATATTTAGGATTTCAAAGCTTACCTCATTTTTTCTCAGAAGGCGCAGGTGAGAAATCGAGATTTTTATCATTAGATAGCTTTAAAAATATTGAATGCATTTATATCCTTTTTTCGATCTGTTTTATATTTATCGAGATGTTTTACCGTATTCGAACTTTTTCTACTCACTGTTTATGTCACACTCTTTTCTTTATTATATTGTGCCGGCTTGCATCAAAATTTAAAAAATAATGTACTATACGTGTTTTATTCCTTACAGAAAACTGACAAAAAAATTGAATTTAGATAAGATTGTCTTAAAAAGTACGACTTAAGTTCTTTTTTAATTATGTAGCGTAATAAAGCGTTATAATAAGTGCATCCAGAAGAAATAATGGAAAAACTTCGTAACTTTTTTTCTTTTGAAAATTAATTGAATTTACTTTAAAATTTAATTGCAGTTGAAATTAGCTGTCTGAATTAACCATCATTTAAAAGATGCATAAATTGTCTTAAATTTTTAAGTTTGAGAAAATAATCAATGTCGTTTCTTTCTATTTAATGCCATCAACTTCATTTAAAAATAAATCGATGTATGAACTTGATTAAGAATTAGGCAAATATATTAAAGGTATTTTAATTAAGTATTTATTGTACTCAAATTTTTGACAAATCAATTCAATACAAATTCATATACAATACAAAAAGCAAATATATTTTGAAAAACGAAATTAATAAAACTTAGAGTTTTAGTGAGCTTAAGAGAAATTACTTTTAATAACATAAATATCTTAAAATTGCTTACCATATTTGAAGTTTTAAGGTTTTGTTTTCCGTATAATATCAGGAAATGTAGAAGTGATTTGATGTATTTACAGTTTGCAAACCTTTTTATATAGAATCATAGTTCAGAAAGTCTCAACATTGGTAAATCAAGTGATAAGAGCTTTGCGCTTCAACAAGCAATGAAGCATAGGCAATCAAAATCGAATTTCCTTTCTTTTAAAAACAAATCTTTAATTTGCTAACTATTATGTTTCACAAGTTTCAGGAAAGAGTTAAATTTGGACACTTGTTACTATGTAAGTAGAAAATTGTATCACATAAAGATGTCTCTCAAATTGCTTTGATAATCAATATTTTTTGGAAGAATTTAAATAAGTTGCCTTTTTCAAAACGAGATGTATTTTATGCAGCAAATAAAATATTCAAAATAATTTCTTTTATGCGTCAAGCTAATTACAGGTTACATATGTTCCTTAAAAAAGTTGAAAACTTTACAAAAAGTTTAACTTTAACAATTAAATTTCGAAATTTTTGATTTCGTTATTAGATTAATTTATTTGGAAATATTAAGCAGAGTAGTGAATACAAATTTATGTATATTTATGTTATGCTCTTAATTATTCGATAAATTAAGAAGTTTTAAGGACCGTACTAAACTTAATGCGAATCTAACTAACAAATTTTCTAAAATAAACTTTTATTATTTTTTTTTATAAATTATTTAGGCTCAAGTGTACTTAAGCAGTAATATGCAGGCTCTATTCCGTAGATCTGATACGCTTATGTAAGCATCATATGCAAGTTTGCTGATACTGTTTCCTTACATAAATAATAATCTAATACAGTTGAATTTTTCTGCTCATTTTAATGATTGCTTTGATCCATTTTGATTAAGTAATTAATAAAAAAGATTTCTTATAATAAATACATTTCTTGTTTACTTTTCTCCTTGAAAAATTTTAGTATGTAATTTAAAAATTTCGGAAATGCAAGAATAGTTTTATTTGATAGCAACGTTATTTCTATTTTAATAAGAAAAAATCAATATAATGAAAGACTTAACAGTTTAGAATGCATATTTTCTTTAGAAAAAATAGGTATAAGCTTCAAATTAAACATTATTTGAAATATCAATATAATTATAAAAAATATGGAGTCTCTTTTAAATTTTTAAGTAACAAAGATAAGGATTAATTTTCTTTTGAAAAATATAATTATATGGTTCAAAAAAATGAATTAAAATCTTAAAATAAATTTTGCCATTTTTAATACGAAAATTTTAAATTTTAAATAAATGTCTAATGCAAACTTTTTTTGAGATTTTTCTCCTCAAGGTCATTTAAATATTATTTTTTAAAATGAAAATTACGTGGTTTTAAAAAAAAATAGTCAGAAGTTTTACATCTCAATACTCGAAAAGTTTTTGACTATCATTGAATAATTAAAGAAATATTTAAATTTGAAAAAAAAGAAGCAATTATTTTTGGTTAAAAAACATGTTATGGTCAGCTGCATGTATGCTTTATGATTTCGGTGAGCTCATTAAATTAAACTCTTTTTCATGGAAAGTTTTGATTTATAAACAATCTTCTACTGTTAGTATATTTTTAAAACTTGTGTTTCTAAAGTTACATTCCTCCATTAATTTTTTGAATAAGTTAAAATCTAGCAAAATGAATGAATGAATAAATAAATTGCTGAGTGGCTGTCGGACTGACTGAATAAGTGAAAAGAATAAATAAAGGGAATAAACAAATGAAAAAAATAAATGAATGAATTAATAGCATTAAGAGGAAAAAATAACATAAAGTCGTCTTGTTCCTTGATTTATCTATTGTAATCATTATTAGAAGATTGCAAATATTTCCCTCATTCATTGTGGGGGAAAGGGGACATAATTCCACATTGTTCTATTAAATATTTTTTTTTATAATAGTCGATTGTTTTTATATTGACATATGCTAAGAATGTACATATTGCGCATATTCAAGACATGCACGTAAAGTTTCGGATCAACTGCGTATAATTTTTAAAAAAGTAGTTTTTAATCAAACATTTTTCTGACAGAATTTTCTATGGTATAGAAACTTAATTTCAGATTTCAGTATAAATATTTGTAAATTATATATTATTAATATGCTGTACATGGAAAAGACAATTCTGGTAAAATTACTGTAGTGTAGGGTAGAGAAATTTCTGGTGAAAGAAGAATAAAAACATTTTTTTTCGTGTAATAAAATCAAAAATATACAGTATTTAAACCATTTGGCATTTTTCCGCTCATATGGTAACGGCGTACCGGAAATTCTATTTTTCAAAATTATAATTCGTATTACTTCATATTAAATAGAAAGAACAAAAGTAAATTTAAGCGAATAATTGGTTTCAATGCCATGCTCTAAGATATCATGATATAATTACCAAAATTTCACCAAATTCTATAACATATTATAAAACTATATTTTTTTCTTAATTATACCAAAATCATTTCTGAAGTTCTTCGGTAAATATTAAAGAGATTTTTGGTGTTCTCATAGAACCGGAAACAAATTAAAGTTTACCGTATTTCTAGTAGGTTAGAGCATATTTTTTACTCAGTGTAGGAGATATAAATGTAAATAACTACAGCTTTCAATTCCATTCAACAACAGCAACAAAAAAATTGATAAGAAATAGTTGTGGCAGAATTTTTCTGTCATGAAAGAAAATTCAGTCATTAAAGAAAATCTCAGCATGAAAAGGAACCTAAAATGTACCATGTTTAATACTCTGGTACATATTCGTCTTTTTTTTTCTCGAGACAATATGATTTTTAAATCCTTGCTCTTCTCTATGCATTCTTTCGTTTTGGATTTTTCTTCTTTACAATTGCAACTCAAATAGCAATTAAAACAACTTTTTTTGACAATCTTCCATTTCATTTCTGAAACCTATTTTGAAAATATTTTGGTCCCTTTTTGTTATTTGATTTTTAATGAACAACAATATTTTTGAGTGAATTTGCTAAGTTTTCCAAGAAATTTTATTTTAATTCTTACTTTCTAATTTAGATATTTTGCTAGGGTATCAAATATTAAAAGAAGTAAATTAAAAGTATTGTAAACATTATAATATTAGTTTGGAGGACAATAAATAAATATCTAAGTGAGAAAAAAAAATGTATTCCCTTCAATGAATTTCAAAAATTCCGAATCTTTTAATTGATTTCCGAATCTTTAAATTATTTATTAAGTCAAATCACATTTTCGAAATAATTAACAGCTCTTTTACGATAACTTCTATATTCAGTTAATCAGGTAACTGTCTAAAAGTAAGATTTTTTAAAAATTAAAATCGTTAACTATAAATATGTGGACATAGATCTTTGTTTTTTCTCGACTTAAGGCTACTTTTCCAGCTAATTTCATACTTGTTTAGGCAAGACAAATTAATGACCTTAAAATTTCTGAGAAATTTCAGTTTTTTTCTTCTTTATGGTCAATTTTAAGGACACGTAAAATGTGAAACTGCACATACGTTGATTGTTTTGGTAACACTCATTTGTATATACTCATAGAAATATATTCATTTTCGGTGCACTGTCGGTACAAAGTTATTTTCGACTTTCAAAGTTTAAGAAAATGGCCGAGTTCTGA